TGATATTCCTTTACGCAGGTACCACAACCTACTTTCATATGTGCATATTATCTACCTGCTATCTGATTCACACACAAATAGTTTCTCCATCCATCTTCCTGTAGATTTAATGCAGAAACACAACCCATGTTTACCATGTGTCTCCGCTACAGGTGTAGATGGTGCAAAGGTCGAAAATGTGTCTCTTGAAATCTGCCAACATCCTTGCAAGGACCTGGTTAATTTACTGACAGAGATCCATGGACTGCGATTTGTGACCAACAACCTGCTTGAAGACCTAGAAAAAATAGTAAGTCAAAAAAAAATCTAAACACACATAAATCAAAAACATTTTGTTTGTTTAGGCTGCGTTTATTCTTACCTGGCACGGACTAGTGAATTTTGGACATGTGTTCCTGGGAGATGATGAATATTCTGAACAAACCTGACATTTTTTCCGAGAACTTTCTTTTTCTACACGTTTTGTTTATAATTGCTTTTCATTGGAAATTTATGTGACTAAACCCATGGAGTGCAAATGGAACAAGCAGCGATATTTGTTCTGGCAGAAAAAAGTGTGGTTAGTGGCAAATGTCAGGGCACTGTTGAGAAAAACTCACTCTAAACTGAAATACTGCTATTGTTAAACATCTTATCAGCGCTGGAGCCTAAGTCATCTGTAATGCAGTATTGCACAGGCTGATCCCATACTATTGTGATGTTTGTCTTGTCTTCCACAGTCAAAGGAAAACAAGGAGATGAGATTCTATTTGTCTGAACTGAACAACAGCAGCAGCAGCATCATGAGCAGTAACATCATCAGTAGAAAGAGCAGCAGTAGCAGCGGCAGCAGCAGCAGCACCAGCAGCAGAAGCAGCAGCAGCAGCAGCGGCAGCTGGGGAGGCAGAGCTGGTGGAGGCAGAGCTGGTGGAGGCAGAGCTGGTGGAGGCAGAGCTGGTGGAGGCAGAGCTGGTGGAGGCAGAGCTGGTGGAGGCAGAGCTGGTGGAGGTGGTGATGCTGACAATGATCTTGACAGAGAGGGAGGGCTGTGGTGTGTGCAGGATGGACGAGCGTACGAGCCGGGAGAGAACTGGGAGGTTGACAGCTGCACCTCCTGTACCTGCCAGGTTAGTGTAGAACAAATCTGTTCGAACTGTAACAGGAGTGGGAGAACACAGGGACAAGTCTCTCAGTCAATAAGAGCTCTGTCACACAGACAACCAACACCCCCCCCCATACACTTCTCCTTCATCAAATGCTAAGTGTTCACTCTTGATAATTATGTAAAGACTAACAACTCCCAGCTTACTTCTGTAAATCCTGGACATAAATATTGACATCAGACTTGAAAGCTGTAACATCTTCCTTTAGGTTTTCACATACAGAGAAAAAAAAGTTTGAATCCCTAAATATCAATACATCTCTAATGCAGCCTGAAACCCAAAGGGTTTATTTGGAATGTTGGGAAATGTGCCAGCAGACATCAGCACTTTTTTTAAGGCCCTACGTACTTAACAAGTCTGTATTTGGTGCCACCTTGATTGTGTCTTTCTGGCCTTTTGTCGACCTCCTGTTGTGACATCTTTGCTCGGCTGGTTAATTGGAGTCCCTCTGGATCTGACCTGTGGAGTCAGGGGTAGGCAACTTTTTTTTTTTCAGGTGACCAATAAATGAACATAAAACAATAAATCAAACAAGGGCACCCACTGTAAAGGGTCAAAGGTCACTCACATTCAACAAATATTTCCATCAGCTTCCTGACACAATGTTTTAATGACATGATGAAATGAAAAACACAAACAAACACATTTATCAATATATGCAGGCTTTAACAGATGAGCTCTACAGGGGGCGCTAAGGACTAAGGTCTTTACGTAGGACAGATTCTGGACTAACTGTGTTAGAATCCTGAAAGTCTCAGCATCAGTCAAGTGTAGCAGACCTCCTTAGAGAGCGTGATCTTCAGAAGTGATGAAAAGGAGATACTTACTTTGATTTACCACGACGCCTTAAAACTATTGGAAGGAGCTCTGGCTCTTGCCGTTTGCATGTTCTGTTAAATACTCACATTTTATCATGTTTTTATTGGACATAAAATATGGGAACCATATTTTTTCTGCATCTTGTTTTAGTTTTTGCCTGTACCTTCGTTTATTGGACCCCTATCAATGTTCTGGTAAAATAATCGACTAACAGGCAAAAGGATCAAAGTCTCAGAATGTCAAACTGATTCCAAGAAATCTAGTTAGCAAGTGGAGAGGCTTTGCCTGGAACCATTGTGGTTTTATTATTTTCAGGCGCTGTCTTTACTGATATTCTTTTATGGTTACCAACCTTCAGGATATACTGTAAGTCACATCAGTATCTGGTGTTACTACCTGTTGCTAATCCTTCAATCCAGCATAAAATCTTATAGGTGCACTTGCAAAAAGTAAGTAAGTTTGTTAAGTTGTAGTCAGGTGTACAGTATGATGTATGACACTTTCATGAAGTATATAAAATGTGTAAATGAGCTCTTAGGTCGTGATATTTTGCTAAATATTATTCATCATCTTTGATACTTCATTCTAATGTAGTGTGAAGTATATTTTCATTTCCACTTCATTAAGCATGGAGAGGTGGTGTGCGATCAGGTGTCTTGTCCTCCTGTGTCCTGCATCAACCCAGTCTTCACTGATGAACAGTGCTGCCCCGTTTGTCCTGGTGAGTTCTATTATTAGCCACCATCAGTGCTGCAGTAACATCACAGGCTGTGATAGCAGCGTGCTAACAGTGCATTGTGCCTGTGTTTGTGTGTACAGACAATGACAATGACTGGTCTCCGTGGTCGGAGTGGACCCACTGCTCTGTCTCCTGTGGACGCGGGGGGCAGAGAAGGGGACGATCGTGCAATGACGTCATGCTGTCCTGTGCCGGTCCCTCAGTTCAAATGCGGAGCTGTATGATAATGAAGTGCGATCGGAAGGGTGGGGCATTTCAGTACACATCAAATCAGTTTTTTTGTGTGTGTGTCAAAAAACCTTTAGCACAATAATTGAACCTTTATTGAGCAGCTGAGGTGCAGAAGTCACAAGGGCTACAGTCAGGAAACATGGAACATGAAGAGACCACTGAGAATGAACTAGAAGTTATCCTGGTTCTATAAAACATGAAGATTAGATCAGATTGAACTTTATTGACTGTACCATAAAGAATGGGTGGACTAAGGAGGTGTGGACATACAAGGTGAGGCTGAGACACGAAGAAACTAATATAGTATGATTTGAAACTACAAAGAACTAAAAACATAACTGAACCACAGGACAGAGGAGGGTCCACAAAAGCTGGGTTGCCCATTAAGTAGATTGTGACCTACCAGTAGATCACAAGAGGAGTAGATCATAATGATAATTACAAACAGATTGTCTTGACCTGATTGTCACAGGTTGTAGTGGTGATGGTCTGTGTCTTTGGAATTTTCCAGGCTACTAAAAAAAAGTAAACTTAACCTTTCACAGTTTTTGTGTACATGTTTCATGTCTAGTACGCAGTGACGGGAACTGGGGACTCTGGTCTCCCTGGTCTGCATGTACCACCACATGCGGAGAAGGTGACATCACACGGGTACGTCTGTGCAACAACCCTCCACCAGCCAAGGGGGCAAAAGGATGTGCAGGCAGTGCCAGTGAAACCCAACCGTGCAACAACACACTCTGTCCCAGTGAGTACACATGTTCCAGAAAACTGTGGACACACATGATCCTGTTCAACTGCCACACTTGTGTGTAACATGTTTGGGTGCAGTTGCCGGAGGTTGGGCAAGTTGGACGCAGTGGTCTTTGTGCTCCGAGTCTTGTGGAGGAGGTCTATCGAGTCGCAGAAGAAAATGTTCAAACCCCGCACCTCAGAACAGTGGGAAGCCTTGTGCTGGAGACTCCGTGGACTATGAAGCCTGTAACAAACAGCCTTGTCCTAAAGGTAAATTGAAGCATGTCTCCCATGGTCAGGCTGTAATATAATAATATATTTAAATGTTTTTGTGTAGATTTGACCATTCAAAATCACGTTATTTTAATGTTAACATCCAAGTATACCGTGTGTGTGTTTCCAGACATGTGTTTGCTGTCAAATCCATGTTTTCCCGGTGTGGCTTGCACTATGCACCGTGATGGATCGTGGGAATGTGGAGGCTGTCCATTGGGTTTAAAGGGCAATGGAACTCACTGTGAAGATGAAAATGAGGTAAAAAAAAAACCCCAGATATTAAAACTGACAGAGGTCGACACAAAAATACAGAAAGTTATCCAGTAAATCTTGTTGCATAATCAAGGAAACGGGTCGATATCATTAAAGTCTGTAGTTCAGAATTTTTCCTTGGACTGTCACTATGCTCCTCACTGAAATGTGAAAAACAGCTGTTGGGTGAATTTTCAAATCCTTTCCTCTTTAATTTCCTCCTCCTGTTTTTTTTTAGGTATTACTCGTGAATTTCTGCTAATTTTCTCAACAGCTTTTACTCACTTTTACTCCTTCCTGTGTTTCTCAGAATGTTAACTAACTCTAACCTTATCCCTGTCTGGAACACTAACCCTCATCCCAACTACTCTATCCCTGTGTAAGCCAACAAATCAAAGTATATTGTCATTTTGTATATAACTGTTGGAATAATACATGAGTTCATATGTTCATGTTTTAAAAATAATTCAAAATTAAATTAAAATTATGTAACAAACAACAATTTCTTGACCCTCCAGCAATAATTTTGCAGAACGTCTAAGGACTGCAGGCCCCCTTTTGAAGACCTTAACTTTAAATAGTATAGTGCAATAATAGTGCAATAAATTGGATCAATAGTTTTGGAAATTCATCAATCATCAAGTTCATCAACCATGTCACTGGCCTGTGTTTTGTTGTTCCAGTTTCTGTATCTGGCTGTCACTGCTCACTTCAAGGGTCACTACAGCAGATTTGTGTAGATGGGGATCACTCTCATCCCATCCCCTCCCTCATCAACTATTTATGTCTGGGGATTTCTTTTTTTCTTTTTGTCTTGCAGCTCCATCCCCTTCTTTCCTCTATCTCTTCTCAGCACATGTTCAAACCACCTCAACCTCATCCTTGCCTTTCTAACCTTATCTCCAAATCTATAATCCTGTCCATTCTGGTCACTCCCAATAAAAATTTCAGCATTTTCAACTCTGCCACCTCCAGCCCATCCTCCTGTCTTGTAGACAGTGTCTCTGAACTGTACATCATGGCATGTGTCACTGCTCTCCTGTAAACCTGGTCTTTTACTTTTACTGCTGTTCCTGTTTCACACACCACCACTGACAGCCTTCTCCACCCACTGCACCCTGTCTAAAATCTATTCTACACCACCCATGGCTTTGGTTGGTTGACCCCAGACTCATTCATTTTTACTACACCTCTCCTCCAGGCACCATCACCTTTCCACCTGCCCCACTCTCATTCACACACATTTATTCTGTCTCGTTTTCTCCTGACTTTCAATCCTCCACTCTCCACTGCACTTCATGCAAGTTGTAAAAAAAAATCCCACATGATTCACAGTTTGACTGCACAAACTTCAGCTTCTAAACAATACCTTAATAATTTATCACTGCATCAAAACACTGACCACTTCAAGAGGACATAAATATTGTGTAGTTTGATCCCAGGCTGCTGCATCTGAGTTGGACAAACAGTTTGTGTTTGATATGCTGAACATGATTAATCCTCCTATCTCCTCAGTGTGAAGTGGAGGGTGTGTGTGTTACAGAGTGTGTAAACACAGACCCTGGGTTCCACTGTCTGCCCTGCCCTCCTCGGTATAAAGGCACACAGCCTTACAGCCTGGGTCTGCAGGCAGCCCGACAAATCAGGCAGGTACGTGGATTTAATTTAAGCCTTAACGTGTGTTCTTCACTTTGACCTGCAGTCATAAAACACATTGGTACTCTTAGTACTCTTAGTATTTGTACTTGTGTTTTCTCCTAGGTGTGTGAACCATACAATCCTTGCAAAGACAACACACACAGCTGCCACAGGTATGGTGAGTGTGTGTACCTTGGTCTTGCATCTGAGGTCTTGTACAGATGTGTGTGTGCTGTTGGGTTTGCCGGGGATGGCTTTTTGTGTGGCGAGGACTCTGACCTGGACGGCTGGCCCAACAGTAGACTGACATGCAGGCGAAATGCAACCTATCACTGTCAAAAGGTAAAAGACCTTTTTAGCTCATTAAGCCAACTGATCATTTTTAACACAGAGAGGAATATCATTTAATCAGATTAAATGAATGTTTTGGCATTAGGATGCACATCCTTGAGCTGAAAGCACATTTGTTAACATTTATTTTGAATGGGAGCTTAACTGGCAAATTTTCTCAGAACCTGTTTAGAATCTGTCTGATTATATTATTTTAAGCTGTTTATAATTTATTATAATTTATTTCACCAGAAAACAACCTCAAGACATCATGCTACTACCACTGTGTTAATAAAAGCCAGAAAACTCCGTCTTGATCTAATTAGACTATGACTAATTTCCCCACATGCTTAGGATAAAAACAAATGAAATAATTGCAAGGTTTGGGGTATTTCTTTTGATTTCCAGTTTCAAAGGCTGAAAGTGATTCTCCTCAGTTTTTTACATTAATTTTCATCTCAATCCATAGAATTTTTTAATTAAATACAATTTATTTTCCTTTCCTAATTGATACATCACATTCAGCTTGGTTCTTTGCAGATTCTTTGCATATTTTGTATTTTTTTGCTTTCAGTAACAAAATGTAAAAAATGGTTTGACTTGATTTGAATTTAGTTATCGTGACTTTTTTGATAATGAGTGAAAAAGATCATTAGTTCATAAAGAATTGTGTTACTGTGAAAACAGCACCACCTATTGTTCCTAGAGAATCTGCCTCCTATTGTCACCATCATATTTGTCACCTCATATACAGTTTTGTTGTTATTCAAATAAAAAGGTCTCCTAAAAGTATCTTGGTGTCATAGACATTTCAGGAGGGCTGTGTAAACATTTGCTGTCTGCAGGATAACTGCCCTATGATGCCCAACTCTGGACAAGAGGACCTGGACAATGATGGACAAGGAGACGCCTGTGACCCCGATGATGACAATGATGACATCATGGATGAGAGGGTAGGCTGGTGTGATTGATTAACCGTGAGGACACTGTGTGTGTGTGTGTATGTGTGTGTACAGTAAACAGATGTGTAATCACTCTGTAATCGCCCACGTATGAAAATGACTGCACGGCTGTTTGGCTGTTTGGCAGGACAACTGCCCGCTGGTATACAATCCTCGGCAGTACGACTCAGACAGAGACGGGATTGGAGACAGCTGTGATAACTGTCCGTTTGAGAGCAACCCACTGCAGAGAGATACTGACGAGAACGGAGAGGGAGACGCCTGCAGCATCGACATAGACGGGGATGGTAGGAGCCTGCAACTCATTACTTTTTCATTGGTGTTTATCCAGCACATAGTTCTCCTCTTCCTTCATGTGTAAATAAAAATAACAGTGCTGTCTCTGGCATGTGGAGCAAAACTCCAAATATTTTTGTCCCATTCTCCCACAGGGACATTGTAATAAAATCAATATATTGCTATAATTTATTCAGTCAAATTCTCTAGCCTTGATCCCTGTTATGTTTTTATTGCACTTATATTGAAGAATCTAGATTAGATTTTGTGATTTTCAAATCATCGTTTTCCTGCAGAGGTCCTGAATGACCACGACAACTGTCCACTAGTCTACAACACTGACCAGAGAGACACAGACCTGGATGGTGTCGGAGACCAGTGTGACAACTGCCCCCTGTTACACAACCCACTGCAGGTTCGTGAAAAGACACAGATAATATTAGAGATACCTGGTGTGTACTTGACTTACTCTGATCAGACTGTAATGTTTGATTTAGCCCAGAGACGAGTGAGTGACAATTATTATTACAATTATTCCTCACCAAGATCACAACATTTTCCAGATGGTTCTTCCTCACCAAGATCACAACATTTTCCATTTGTTGAAGGACTCTCACCCCTTGGCTGTTCCCATCGGAGGTCACCACAGCAGATTATCTGCCTCCATCTCATCCTGTCCCCTGCCTCCTCTGCTTTTACACCAACTGTATTCAGTCCTTACACTTCACTACTTCCACACATCTTTTCTGAGATCTTCCTCTTCTTCTCTTGCCCGTGGTCTGGAGTCAGAGTGCATACATTCTTAATGATGAGACGTCATAAAGCCTCTCAGCAGAGTCAGGTTTCCTTCTCGTTAACTTTGACAAATCATGTCACATGACATCACTGTATGTTGACATGTGCAGCTGGACTCTGACAATGACCTAGTGGGGGACATGTGTGATGACAACGAGGACATAGATGAGGACGGTTACCAGAACTCCTTGGACAACTGTCCATACATTGCCAACAGCAACCAGGCGGACCACGATAACGACGGCAGAGGGGACGCCTGTGACCACGACGATGACAACGACGGCATCCCCGACGACCGGGACAACTGCAGATTGGTGCCAAACAAGGAGCAGCTGGACACTGACGGTCAGTGTATGTCAAACCATGAATCAAATAGGTAACAAAGGCATCATGGGAGATTGGTAATCCAGCCACAGATTATCATTAAATAAATTGCGATTCGTCATTCAAATGCCATGTAAATGACTTAAGACAAATCCACACGGAAGACAGTACAGGAAACAGGAAACTACTTTCTCTGCCTTGTTAGTTGCATTTCAACTCTGCTGTAAACTTTGTAAAGTTTGTTTGCATTCCAACTACCGTTCAACAAAGTTCAAAGGGCTCTAGGCTCCAGTTTCGGCCTTTTGTCGGACCTTTGTTTTTCTCTGCACCTTAGATCTGGTATTTCTAACCCATAACTGCTGCTGCTGCAGTTTTTAATTCTCTCATCTGGAAGCAGTGCTGTGCTGCTGGGTGAGGGATGATGGGTAGTGTGGAACACCGACTCAACACTGACTGTTGGAAACTAAAATATTTTAAACGACCACTGGAGAGAGCCTTGAGTCTCATGTGTTTTTATTAAACACTTGTTGTACTCATTACTGTCACACAGGGGTTTAGGTTAGGACAAAAACAATTATTACCACTGTTATTTCATTGCTTGATTTTTCAAAAGCATTGTGTTAATTAAAAAAAATGGAAATACCCAGAAATGGCCCTCGGACCAGGAGTTGGACTCCCCTGTCTGAAAACATTGTTACATCTCCAACGTCCTGAACTTTCCCACCACATTTGCATGTTACTGTGGTTCTCCTGCAGGTGACGGCAGTGGAGAAGCCTGCTTTGATGACTTTGACAACGACACTATTCCAGATGCCCTGGATCCGTGTCCGCTGAATCAGGAAATTAGGTCTACAGACTTCAAGAAGTTTCAAGTTGTGTTGCTGGACCCCAAAGGAACCACACAGTCTGACCCTCTTTGGGTAATCCGCAGCCAAGGGACAGAATTACTGCAGACGGCCAACTCAGATCCTGGAATTGCTCTAGGTCAGATGAGTGAGATCTAAAATAAAACTAAAAATCCAGAGCCGATATAAATATTTAACGACACGTGTGTCACGTCGGTTTATACAGGATATGACAAGTTCAGCTCGGTCGACTTCAGTGTGACGTTCTATGTGAACACCAACCGAGATGACGACTACGCGGGCATCGTGTTCTCGTACCAGTCGAGTCAGCGCTTCTACGTTGTTATGTGGAAGCAGGTGAGCTCCATGGTCTGAACTTAACTACAGTGATGTTCACATTGACACCAATTCTAGTAACCAATGAGTTTAACCAATCACATTGGTGAAATATTTCAATATATGTTGTTGATCTAAGAAGAAGATTTAAGAAGATAGCAGGTTCCCAGTCTTTCTGCATGGTCTGCAGTGTTCCTGCAAAGGAATAAGTAGATGATGAATAAATGGATGGATGGATGTATATTCCCTTGTTTTATATAAATGTGTGTTTGTATTTACATTTTCTTTGTTTATATTTTTGTGCCTTGCTTTTTTAAATGTACCTTTCCTATCACTACAGGAATTAAATAACACAGTTCCACCTTTTCCTCTTGTCTTTTTTTATTTTGGATTTCTACACGAGCAGGTGTCCCAGGCTTACTGGGAGAAAAAGCCTTCCAAAGCTTTTGGCACAGCGGGAGTCTCCATTAAACTGGTCAACTCCACCACAGGACCAGGAGAGGATCTGCGTAATGCTCTCTGGCATACAGGAAATACCAGAGACCAGGCAGGAATCTGACACATTGTTCAGACCAGATTGGAACAGTAAAGATCAGGCTCTTAAGAGCAATATTTTTGTGTCCCTGCTAATGTCTGTGTGGATTTCTTCCAGGTCAGGACGCTGTGGCACGACCCCAATAAAACTGGCTGGAGAGACTACACAGCTTATCGCATGCACCTGATCCATAGACCTAAGACTGGCTTTATCAGGTACGGTGACTTCATCACTTCATCACATGTCCAGATAGTTCTTTGTCCACTGACTTAAAGCTTCTGTTTTCTTGATTATCTGTCACACTGCACTGTCATAAAAGTCGGCTGGATTACGATTGAGTCAGGCGACATTTGAAGTTAGACAAAGATTTGTGGATTTCCTCCCGGGAGCAGCAAAAATTTGTGCTTGGAAACCATCAACCTTGGCAATAACCTTTTGAATTTATCGTTCAATATTATCAGTTTGACTGCCAAAGTGCTTTTACAATGCTTCAACCCATTAACTCTTCGTTGTTTTTCCATATTTCCCTCATTTGACAGAAACGGTGTCAATCAATTTCTGTATGCTAAGGAAAACAACTTCACTACTGCTTAACATTTGCAGATATCTTTTCTGTGCTTTTCTTCAAACAGGGAGAAACAGCGCCAATGCATAAACGGCCGATCAGACTTGTCACATTTATCTGTTTCCACTAACATGGAAACTCTAACTAGCTCCTGAGCTGAGATCAGTCTTAAGCCATTTTTATTGTGTCTGCAAGTGGATTTTATTTTATTACAGTATTTATTGAAAACACAAAATTGAACAAATTATAAAACAGAAAATTCAAACTCAAAACTAGTGGCGGTGGTGTCAAATAAATGTGATTTGCACAAAATTTGTAAAACGTGAAGAAAGGGCTCATGAAAGTGACATATTTGGTGCTCCGTCAGTAGCAGACCAGGTTTAGTGGGGCGGGGGATCTGCTGACTAGCTTCCTAAATCTGGGAAAATCTCATTCCGGTGTCACCCTTGAAGGAGTAACTCACCCTCAGTTGTCCTAATACTCAAGGATATCATCAATCAATGAGAGTTATTTTATGATAACGGTGTGATTCACTCTCTTCATATCCACTTCTCCTCAATCTGCCACATGTATTTCTGCTTAGTTGCACCTCTCACTAATGGACTTTAAAAAAAAGCCTGCAGGCAACAGTGTTTTGTGTGCTCTGTGCTGTGCTGGTGCACATTCTGTTTCCAAGCTGAGAATAAAAAAAAACAATGTTATGTGCCAAGAGAAAACATTGCTTTATTTTTTTTTTAGAATATTAAAGCACAGGCTATCTTTCAAGATGCACAAACTGGCTTTGCTCCACTGTAAACACAGGTTCTTTTTTCCAGTGTGTACTGTAAACTAGTGGCCCGGTTAAAATTTTTAATCAGGTACCTGGGGATTACTCCTGAATCCCAATTTCTAATGATTAATCATGATTAATCAAGGTACATTTTCAGCCAAATGACAAAAACTTTTTTCTGATATTGCTGGAACCGAATGACAAATAACAGTATTGTCAAAAAACATTTACTGTAAAATATGCAGATACAGTTGTATGGTCACATGGTGAGAGAATAGTTAGTGCCCCCACCTCACAGCAAGGAAACCCCCAGTTCCCTGTGTGTCTTTTTGTCATACTTCAGATTTTTCCCACAGTTCAAAAACACACAGATTGAGGATCTGGTTATTTGGACGGATGTGAGTGTGAATGGTGGTTTGTCTGCTTATACAGTATGTCCCTGTAATGGACTGTCCAGAGTTTTCTGATTGGCTGGTATGCCCAACGTATCAGCCATATTTGTGCTATTTTTTTGTTCAGAGACCAGGCGACTAGTAAGTGTTTGACGGAGGAGATACTGCAGCAGGTACATTAGTACAGAGTCAGAGACATTGATCCGATAAGAAAAAGAATAAAGAAACAGTTACAGCTGAAACAGTGAGGAGAGGGCTCATGTGTGCGGCTAATGACCTTAGACCTTGATGTATGACTGGAATAAGTACAAATGGCAGATGTAAAGTATAGACAAGGTGTGTTTTGTTTGAACGTGTCATAATCTCTGTGTGATCAAAGGTCACGTCCTTCATCTGGACCGTTGAATTTTAATAACTGATGCGTTATCTGTGCTGTGTACTCTCCACAGGGTGGTGGTGTACGAGGGCAGGGAGATTATGACTGATTCAGGAGCGGTGTACGACCACACCTTGGCCGGCGGCAGACTGGGATTGTTCGTCTTCTCCCAGGAGCACGTGCTCTTCTCGGACCTCAGATATGAGTGCAGAGGTGAGTGTGATTATGTCACAACAATTGCACCAAGTGAAATGCACCAAGAATAGGATTCCACTATCACCCACACCTTATATATGTTAGTTCTTGTCCAGTCCCAAGGATCAAACTCGTACAGTAGTAGCAATTTTATTGCAACCTTATATTAAAGTGATTTTACTTTAAAATAAATAATTAAATAATATAATATAATAAGAAAAAACACAAAGAGATTAAACTGCATTATTACTGATTTACATTTAGGTGTAATTTTTATTGATGCGAAACATAAAACCGAAAATCATTATTCTACCCCGTAACTCTACGTTTTTTGATTAGAAGTAGTGAGCAGTAATTGAATAAGAAAGCGAGTCAACCAAAATGTTGTGGAATAGCACAGTCATGTTCCTCTCATATTCCTCTAATTAAAGTTATCATTTGATGACCTTGCGTAACCCTAATAAGTTCTTATTTTGGTCTTTCAGATACCTGAATTAATCCTTCTTTAGAAAACTCCACAGCAAGCCATCATCGTTGCACATTAATTTCAGAAATATGGTAATTTTACTGAGATGAACCAGACCCAGACAAGCCTATTAGTTAGCAGCCATCATCTATCAGCTTTACTCTGCAGCAGTATTGATCTCAGTCTGTCTTATTTACTGTACATAACCGTGGACAGCATCTCCAATGACACTAAATTCTCACTACTTTTTATTTTGCCTATCGTGAGGATGTATATAATTATTTATTGCCAGACAGCCAGAGTGACAAAAGAATTAACAGATCGTGGTGTACGTAAAGCTACTGTCGGCTATCTTATCAATAAAGTACAGTTTTACCAAGACGGTGTTCATTTTTCCCCATTCTCTTTGTGACATCATCGCAATGTAGTTCTGAATGTGGTCTGCAGTGCCTTCTAGTGGTACTGAGAATAATTACACGTTATAGAAAATAAATGTTTGAGGTGTTGGTGACGTTAGAATTTTATTTCGTAATGAAAAATAATATTTACTGACTTATTATTGTGCCAGGTGTGAATTAAAGAGACATCATGGTATGTAAATAAAAAAATATTTGACTTTACATTCCTCTAAAGCACCATATTCTAGAGCACAGGGCAGTAACTGTTATATAAACACTGTATTTAACCCTAATATTATAGCCATTTTCACTAGGTTCGTTTTATACTGTATCATACTTTTTTCAGTGAGAACAAACTCAATAAGCTGTCTTTGACTGATCATTTACAATACGTCACTGTCGTTATGTTATAGTCCACAAAAAACATCCATGTATTCAAGTCTCAGTATTGTTCCTCCATTTTCACCAAATAAGCTCTTTTAATTTTTAATTTTCAGAATTTCACAACCGACTGTTTTTTATTTGGTTCTATCTAAGGGTATCTATTTTGTTCCTGTTCCACACAGGTAGGGTAGCGGAGTGACACATTTTATAGGATTTTAAACGCGTGTTGATGCACGGTGCAGTCCCGTCGTGCAGTGGTTTCCATCTCGTGGTTAAAATGTGCAATCGCACGTGCGGATGAGAGGTGCACGGTCTATAAGAAACCTACTCTGTCCAGCTGTCCTCGATGTAACTATTTTTGGAACCGCAGGTGCGGTTTTAATTGAAAAGCTAAATGACATAATTATTTGTGTTGGAAAGGGGCGGGACAACTGTCCATTTTGATTGGGATAAACATTTAAACACACTTGCTGAGCGACCAATTCGGTTTTCAAACTCAGGTAGGACTCATTAGTCCTTTGGTGAGCAACGCGTCGGTGACCTCTGGATTAAAGCAAGGCCCAATGCCTCTGTGAGGACTTGAAATACAAAACCAGTTCAACTTGCTTGTGCAACAAAACACCCACACACGAACAAGGGACACTGACAGATTCACACTCAGAGGGAGGAGGATCCGTAGGTATTCTTGTCAGGACAGCCCACTGACTTCTGTTATTTAAACTGAGCTAAACTAAGAGCAAATCTGAATCCTCTCCCACCCACACAAAGAGAAACCCCACACTTGTTCCGTGCTGACAGTGTTTAACCTTTTGTTCTGTTTTGTGTTGTCTGGGTGCAGACTGTCAGAACATGCTGTTTTGGCCTAAACCATTGAAGTGGAACTTTCTCTGTAAATGTTTTTTATTCTTTTGTCAGATGTTGATTTTAGTTGTTGTATCGGCCTAGTATTTGTTCAGAAGGTCACGTACATGTACCTCAGTTTCCACAGGTGCTCACAGACCCTTCCTTCCTGCTTCTGCCTTAACCTCACTTCACCAGATGATGTTATTAACCAGAGCTAATTATAAGGACGGATGTTTGCAGTTTTGTTTGGCCAAAGGTGTTTCCTTTTTTGTAACAGAGGTGACCATGAACACCACTGTTGTGTTTAAAGAAACCAGGTCAGATTTTCTTCAAATGGTGTGGAGTTTGTATTAACCATTGTCTCAGTGATGAAGTCAAACTCCTCATCCTCTCCCTGTAGTTCCCGGAAGATGAGAAAAACTTGTCAGGTTAAATACTAGAACAGGTTTGTTTGTCTGGAGACAGAACCACTGCCCTCCAACACACACACTCATGCATTCTTTCTTTCTCTCTCTCCCTCCCTTTCTCCTCCACACACGTACACACACCCATGCATACACACACTTGGGCTCAACAACCTGGCCGACGTCACTGCCAGTTTCCAATTGCATGTAGAATGAGGAAGAGGAGACAGAGGCTGAAGCTGAAGAGTTCAGAGCTAAACCGGAGTCATTGGAACCAAAGTTAGACACTTGATTCATACATCCGCCCTGTCGTCGGTGCAACCTGGAGAGATGTTGCGCTTCTGGTGCGTCAACTTTATGCAGCGACACCAAACAGTGCTGAACTTTGCGCTGTTGGTGGTCGGTTACATTCTCTACCTGTTGATCGGTGCTGGAATTTTCTCTGCCATCGAGATGCCGTATGAGCACGACCTGCGGCAGGAGCTGAAGGAGGCTCGAGAGGAGTTCCTGAAGATCAACTTCTGCGTGTCCGACGAGCGGCTGGAGGAGCTGCTGGCCCGAGCGCTGCAAGCCAGTAACTATGGCGTCTCGGTGCTGGGCAACGACACTGACCGCAACTGGGACTTCGTGTCATCGCTGTTCTTTACCAGCACCGTGCTGACAACAACAGGTGAGGAATAAGTGGAACGATGTTTATGGAACATTCTATATTTTAGTTCACTGAATTTTCATCCTACCGTGCTTCAGCATCACGTGACCAGAAACAGCGTTTATTACAGCCTGTACTCCAGCATCAAAAGAAACAGCGTTTATTACAGCCTGTACTAGTTTTAACTATGGAACGCCCGGCGCGCCTATCATTATTTCCGTCAATGTTGTCGTGCACTACGTCACACATCAGTCGTGTTATGTTGTCTCTTATCTTGGTAAGCTGTAAAATGGTAAAGACGGCATTTTAATTGATTTATTCTTAGTTTAAATAGCGATAGTAAACTATTTGTGGTGGTTCAACCTATTCTACCACAGAACTAACACAATTGGCAATTCTACATGCAATTCTAGAGTATATACGTATATATATTTACAGTATATATATATAGATATATATATGGGTGTCAATCATTTCGTCTAAAGTTTTATTTCTTCCATCTGCTCTAACTCTGTAATTGCTGTAATTCTCTTCTTCAGGTTATGGCCACAATGTTCCCCTGTCAGACGAAGGCAAGGCCTTCTGCATCTTCTACTCAATATTTGGAATCCCTTTGACTCTGTTTTTTCTCTCTGCTGTCGTGGAGAGGATCATGATTCTGGTCTCCCGAAGACCAGTGTCCTACTTCCACCGCCGATGGGCCATGTCTAAATCCAGACTAGCTGCCATCCACGCCGTTTTCCTCACCATCATCGCAACCCTGTTTCTTCTCATCATTCCTGCGTGGTTCTTTATGGATTTGGAGAAAGACTGGAATTATCTGGAGTCTTTATATTTCTGTTTCATCTCTCTGACAACTATTGGCCTTGGGGATTATGTCCCTGGAGAGACTCACAGTAAAGAGGACAACCCACATCCAGTGTTCTACAGATTGATCATTACGTGTAAGTAGGTGGCTGATTATAGTGCCTTGAGTTTCAGGTTTTTTCAGATACCACGGTAAGAGGACCCCACCCCAATACATGGAGAACTTTCACAAACCAGTTACAGTTTCTCTCTGGTCATTCTTCATGGTGTTAAAGCCCAGGGGTTACCTTCTCTCGCTGTAGTGCTGTTGATGTGAGTTCAAATCCACAGCCTTCCATTTCAGTGATGACACTTTTCTTTTGAAGGACAGGAGTTGTTTCATCAGACAGTAAAAGTTCCAAATCAGTGACCATGGTGATATAACCCTGGGTGTTGAGGCCTCAGACTGTGGTGCAAGTGACATGAGTTTAAGTCCTGGTCCTTATTTTCTGAAATTTTGAATTATCTTGTGTAGGATGTGGAAAACAGCAGTAGTACTTCAGTAGAGTGATCCAAATACAACTAATGTTATATTTTTGTAAATAAAAAGCATCCTAGAGGGTGACAGAGTGACTACTAACCCAGCACAGGCTAAGAGATGTCCAAGAACAGGTATGATTTAGATAGAAGATAGATGTGTTTTGGAACAAATTACAAATTAACAAAATTTCAAAAAGTGATATATATATATATACAGTATATTTCTCATGAAAGGTTGATGTTGTGAATCATATATATATTTAAATATATTTCATGAAAGACTGATGTTGTAAATCACACACACACATATACAGTTAGGCCCAAAAGTATTTGGACAGTGACACAATCTTCATGATTTGGGCTCTGCATGCCACCACATTGGGTTTGAAATGAAACAACTACAACAGAATTGAAGTGCAGACTTTAAGGTTTAATTCAAGGGGTTGAACAAAAATATATGATTAAACATGTAAGAATTGTAGCTGTTTATATACAAACTCTCCTCATTTCAGGGGCTCAAAAGTAATTTGACAAATAATAAAATGTAAAAAGTAAAATGTTCATTTTCAATATTTTGTTG